GGTGACCGGACTTACTTCCTCTGGGATGTCCCACTGCAGCCTGGTGGGGTACGGGATGCTCGGATTGGTGTCCCCTTTGCAGTGCCCGTCCTCTGCGTAGCCCAGCTGAAAGCTGTCCGTGGCCATGACGTACTGTCAAAAATAGAAAGGTGCAAAAGCAAACTCAGACGTGATCATCACAGTGTGACATAACACGTGTTTCATCTCCAGGTGGACAGACCCTTGCTCCTTACAGAGAGGGTACAAAGATTTACCCACGGCTGCTAACTTGTGCGCTTACAGTGTGCTCAGCACCTCATTCTGTGCCTGGCCCCTAACGAGGTAGGTCTTATCTCCATTTCAGAGGCCCCATCAGTGTCTGCACAGCCTAGACTCCCATCCAGTGGTCCCTGGAGCCACAGGCTACTCTGTCAGCTGGGCAGTAACAGTGAAACACCACCCCACTTCTAGTCAGCCACCCTGGTCAAGAGTAAATCCCTTTACCTTCACCTTACCCAGAGTACTTAAAAAAATAAGCCTGGGCCCAGTGCGGTACCTCACACACATAATCTCAGCATTGTGGGGGATTGAGGCAGGAGGATTGCTTGAGGCTAGGAGTTCGGGACCAGCCTGGACAATAGCAAGACCCTGTCTCTACAAAAAATAAAAAAAATAGCCAGGTGTGGTGGCATGCACCTGTGGTCCCAGCTACTCGGGAGGCTGGGGCAGGAGGATCGCTTGAGCCCAGGAGTTTGAGGTTGCTGTGAGCTACAATGGCGCCACCACACTCTACCCAGGATAAGGGAGTGAGACTGTCTCAAAAAAAAGACGTCTTAGGTAAAAGGCACACTGCGTTTTGATAAACCAAGACTTTAACATGCTTGCTTCAATTTGGCCTAAAATGTGGTAGGTAGGAAAACCAGCAAATCCAACAAAAAAGGGATAGTCTATTTCAGAATAAAGCAAGCTTCGCATCCGCCCTGCAGTCACTGCTTGAGAGCCAACCGCCATTTCGTTATTTCGGTTCCCTACGGAGATGGTATTAGACGCGCTGCTATTGAAGGAACCCGAGTCACAGGAAATGAAGACAAGAATGCCTTTAATTTAGTGATTATACGCAGTACCAGTACGTGTTAAAAATTCAGATTATATAATTAGACATGTTACAAAACTAAATTCAGTCCAGGGCTTGGATTTTCCAGTGAAAGCTACAGAAACCCACCTCCCAAAGATGAGCGACGATGGGCGCGTCCGCCCAGGAGTGCTCCGCGTTTATGCCCATCTTCCCGTTCTTGAAGACGATAAATGTGAACGACTTGTCGAACCACCTATGCGAAACAAACGTGTTTATGGAACTTCAATTTAAAAAAAAAACAACAAAAATTACCAGAAACTACAAAACCGTTTCATCCCAGATGGACGAGTTTACTTTGCACCTGCCCCTAACGCTGAGCAGGTGTTCCCAAGTCTGCGGAGAGAAGAAGAAAGTGCAAACAGGATGCTGAGCTGCTCGTGTCTTCCCTGCACCAGACACCAGCATGAGCCTGTGTTCTGGACGCTGGAACAGGACGTGTTACCACAAGGCAACTGCAGAGAGATCCGAGGCTCTTCCTGCAGGCACACGGGCCCCTGCTCAGCCGACCTGTGCCCCTAAGCCACGGACAGGCAGCCCCCACCTTACAGATAAGGACGGGGGCTCCCAGAGGGGCTCGGCTTCATAACTGTTACGAGCCGACACCCAGGTCTAACCCCGCGCCCAGCCTCCTCCACCACCGACTCCTGCCGGGCCCCGCAGCCTGCGTCTCGGAGCACCGCAATGTGCTGCTCGCGCTGTGTGTGGCAGCTCTGGCGGAGGGGAGGAAATTAGAGGCAATATTTTTATGCCAGCATATTCCTTAGCAGTTCTACCCGAGGCGGGGTGCCAGCCGCATGGGTATGTCCTCCGAGCTCTCAGGCGAACCACCTTTCGGGAAGCAGGGGCAGTACCTGTCAAAGCAGCTGCCGTGCAGGAGGGACTTGGCATAGCTGTCCATCGACGCCTCTGGGTCTTCCTTTCTGTAGCCCTGTTCGGTCTCGTCTAACGTTACGAAGAACGCGGCTTTTTCCACGGCGTCAAGTGACTGCTTATTCTTCCCACGCGCAAAATAGGCCTGGCGACACCTGGCCCAGGGGACTCTGCAGCAAAGATGAGATCCATTTAAGTACAGTTGAACCCACAGTCACCTCTCCTTGCACGTGGCGTTTGAAATGACACAATGACAGCTTTGCAGTTTCTCAGGAATTTCCTGAAGGAAAACTACACGTTTATAATTTTCTCCACCCGAGGCTGTCTGCCTGCTGTCCTGCGCTGTTTGCTAGAAGGGATTTCATCTTCTCATGGCCTCTAGACCAGAGCACAGACCATGGTGTGTGGTTTAATTGTTTTAATTCTTATTTATTTAATTTTAGAGACAGGGTCTCATTCTGTCACTCGGGCTCGAGTGCAGTGGCCCAATCAAAGCTCACATAGCTCACCGTAGCCTTCTGAGTTCAAGCAATGATTCCACCTCAGCTAGGACTACAGGTGTGCAACACCACACCTGGTTAATTTTTTAATTTTTTGTAGAGATAGGGTCTCACTCTGTTTCCCAGGCCGGTCTTGAACTCCTAGAGTCAAGTGATCCTCCCACCTCAGACTCTCAAAGTGCTAGGATTATAGGCACGAGCCACCATCCCTGGCTGGTGTGTGATTTTTGTTCAATAAGTGTTGAATGAACAGACAAGCAGAACGCAGACCAGACAGGTGAGGGAAGCTACCAGGGAGCGGCAGGCTCCCAGCAAGGCACTCACCTACACACCGTCCCTGCCCCCGCTTCACCCCGCCCCTCCCCGGAACCATCCTAAATCACAGTAAACCGTAAGAGCACTACCCCCTGCCAGGCTCTGCGCCAAGCCTTTCCCACGCGCCACCCCACTCATCTGTTTCAACACTACGTGCCCATCTTTCAGATGAGGAAACTGAAGCACACAGAGATTAGCTCACAGCTATTTTGTGAGAGGGATTTGAACCTGGGCTGTCAGCCCCCAAGTCCATGCTAGGAATGACCACATGACACCCCTGTGATAAGGTCCCAGTGCCCACCCTAGTTGGGACAGGCAGAGCTGATGTGATGCCCACTTGCTTCTTTTTTTTTTTTTTG